CAACCAATAAGTCAGTCGAGTCTTCTTCACCAGCTAACTCCCCGTACACGTGTCAGATCAGGTAGTCCTGATTCACGTGCGGTGCTCCGATACCAACTGTTACATGCCCAGTCGGGCACTGAGAGTTCAGCCAAGGATCCGCATTGTGATGAAAAGGACTGAATGGACAGTGGACTGCTAACGTAATATCAACAGACAGTGTATATCCCGATACATGAACAATGGCATTGAATAACACAGTGGAAGACTTGGAGATAAGTCCTGACCTGACGTGGAGTGTTACGACATCCCATCAGACATCACACATGTGAGAGGGTGGGAAGGGACCTCCTGCATACACGCACATGGGGAGATACCACGGATGAGAGATGGAGGGGGGAAGGAAGGACGAAGATGGAGGCAAGGGAGAAGACTAAGATCGCAATAGCGAAGTTCAAAATAGTCCCTTGCCAAAGTCCCAACCACATGTCTGCCCAAAAATGTCGAACCAGATCTTGGGCCAATGCCCATCACAACCCCTACCTGTAGCCCTGCAAGTAAACCACTCTCACTCTCGTAGGCTGCCGAAGCAGTGAAGTCAGATGATGAGAGGGTAGGAGAGAGATGGTGGACCGAGAGGAGGAAGAGGAAGAACTCTCTCTCTCTCTTCTGGATGCCAGGTACTAACCGGTGATGGTGGCGCTGTGCTGCAGGTACCTCGCTGGCGAGCTGGAGCTATGGCGCCTCCGGTAAGTCACTCGGTGAGTGGCGCTCTGCTGCAGGTACCTCGAAGACGAAGCTGGAGCTATGGCGCCACAGGTAAGCATCCCTGGCCTCCGCCAGCCTCCTCTCTCCACTACTCTGGTCTATTGCTACTAGCGCCCAGCGCTGAAGACTACTGCTAACGCTACTCTACTACTGCAGCCGAATCCTGAAGACTATGCCTCCTGTAGAAGTGCACGTTGAGTGCCTGGGTAGTCTGTCCCAACCTGTAGGGCGGGCCAGTCTTATATAGTGCTGGCCCGTCCAGGAGGCTGCTCTTGCCAATGCCTGCGCGTGCTAGCCCTTGAGGAAGCTTCAGGGCAGGTCACTCCTGCCGATGCCCAAATGTGCTTGTACCAGGGCAGGTTGGTCTGACGAGGGCCCGAGAATAGCCCTCAGTTTCAGGCTAAAAAGGCTCAGGCCTTTTTTTTAGGCTGAAACGATGCAGGGCCTGTGGGCCCCGGATGTCAAGCTTTTGGGCTGAACCGTCATGGGGCCTGTAGGCCCGGAAATAGCCCTCAGTTTCA